AATGTAACTCCACAGTGTCACAGTGACGCAGACCTCCTGTCTGTCTCTGTAAGCTGAAACCATTTCCCTCAGTGGAAACAAAGCTTTGATTTACTTTAATTTCACAGATAAGAAACAATAAACTGTGAAGACAATAAAGCCTCCACACACTGTGTGTGATTTATCCTGGCTGAAATATGAGGAGAGGAAATCTCTGCTAGCTGCTAGGCTAATTTATACAATGTAAAATGCCATAGACTTGTGCTAATAACGTTAGCATGTTGTATTTGTTTGGAAAACGTGTTTAGTATAAGACAGTTGTTTTGTCAGTGAACCTTGTGAGCTGTAATGGAGCTGAATTTTGTAATGTTAACTTTGTTAAATGTTGCTGTTGTCCCTGGCTTCATATGAGCAGAGGAAGTCTCTGCTACTCGCTAGGCTAATGTATACAATGTAAAATGCCATAGACTTGTGCTAATAACGTTAGCATGTTGTATTTGTGGGGAAAATGTGTCCAGATAAAGACAAGTGTTTGTCTGTGAATGCTGCGAGTTATAGTGAAGCTGATTTGTGTTTGAAACTGTCTCTATTAAGCCATGTTTAATGTGTGTTTAATGTGTGTTTAATGTGTGTTTAACGTGTGTTTAATGTGTGTTTATTGTGTGTTTAATGTGTGTTTATTGTGTGTTTAACATGTGTTTAATGTGTGTTTATTGTGTGTTTAACATGTGTTTAATGTGTGTTTATTGTGTTTTTACTTTGTGTTTAACATGTGTTTAATGTGTGTTTATTGTGTGTTTAACATGTGTTTAATGTGTGTTTAATGTGTGTTTAACATGTGTTTATTGTGTTTATTGTGTGTTTAACATGTGTTTAATGTGTGTTTATTGTGTGTTTAACATGTGTTTAATGTGTGTTTAATGTGTGTTTATTGTGTGTTTAACGTGTGTTTAATGTGTGTTTTGAATCAACTAAACTTTACAGCACTTCACAGAAACCCCACCACCAACTAGTGTTTTTTTGCTACGGCGTAGGGTCTGCGGCACAAGTATAACTCTGTCTTAACACTGTTGGCTCTGTCAGCACTTGCTGTTGTTAATGAAGTTATGAAGTTAGCACCATTAGCTGCTAACCGCCAGCACAACCACCTTCATGTTGAGAACTGTGTCAGGACACTCACGCTCCAAATTTCACATACTCTGACTTTTGCCACCTTAACTTTGGTTCTTGTCCCATTACGTTTCCTCCTGACACTGCCTGAACTATAAGGGCGACCAGCCATGTATCGTGTTGACGTGAAACGACAGCTTTTTTGTCTGATGCCAGAAGTCTCTGACCAAGCGTCGGATTTTGACGATTTTCAAGTGAGACTGTTGTCAGAGCCAACACCCTACACCTGCCAGGTTGGGCTATAGTCAGGTTTATACAACAGTTAGTTCCGGCCCTGCAATCTGATTGGTCGAGAGACAGTAAAACCGTGATGATATTGGAGTAGAACATCACGGTTATTTCACTGTGTATGTATCACTCCGCCTCACAGCTGATTGCAATCAACAATCAAATCAAAACTGATGGTTAGTGTCAGTTAGGTCAGCAGTTGCGTTGTAGGCTAATTAATTCATCCACTGTCAAACAGCCAAAAATATGGATTTATTTCCTAAAATAAGTTTTGAATTGAACTATGAATGGTCATCAGAGGAAGATGAGGGAGAGGAGAAGCTGAATCCATCTGAGCACACATCCAGGTTTGTCAGAGTTTCATCAGCGGAGCTCAATGACTTGGAGAAAAGCAACATACTGTCAGATCAGAAGGCAGAGTCAGCTGTGCCTGTGAAGCCACAGTCCACCATGCAGTCACCACAGACTTATTTCACCGGCTGCACAATTAATGGAAATGTGCAGATAAATGTGTATAAAGAATAAGTGCCTGGCGCACCATGTCTGCGTTACATAGCAACGGTGACAGCGGAGTCCTGAGGGAACTATTTTTGTTGGTGGAAGACAAATAAAATGCTTAAATTATCTATTTTGTCCTCATTTTTCAACATTTCTTAATCAGCCTTGCTTATTTAACTGTTGAACTGTTGTATAAAAGCAATATCACACTCGAGCTTGTGATGTTATACACGTATATTGTCACGGCTGTGATTGTCTTCAGCCTGTGGCCACGTGCCTATGACCGAATCACAGCCGTATAACATCACTCCCTCTCGTGTGACATTGCTTAATTATATCCTGTTGTCTAAACCAATCCAGTATCTTTCCCGACTCGTCTAATACCAACGCTTGGTTCGTGGCCAACTGGTGTTCAACACCAGCACACTGAGGCACACTTTAGCTGTGGTACGAGACGACTCAGGCAGTGGCATTTTTGATGATCTGGGGAACTACCATAGAATAGATAGCAAGAAAGTGTGTATAGGGTGGCCGAGAGAGGAAGTGTATGGGTCAAAAGAATTTCACTTTCACGCAGGAGCCCGCTCTTTGTTTCCAGTGTGAAACCAAAAGTCAGTCAACTTATGAACCATGTGATTTTGTTGCCTTAACCCCAGGAAGTAAATCTAAAAACTACCTATGTAGTTAGTTTAATTTAAAAAAACTAACTACATGAACGTTATGTATTTAACAAACAGGAACTGCACATTTCCTGTGATCACTGAAGTTTATTTTATAAAGAGATGTAACAGTGTACACTGACACAATGTCCCTGAACATCCAAAACTGATGCAGGAGAGCACCTGGTGCATCAGACTCTGACGTGATGGGCCAGTTCCCAAACATTGGTATTTGACAAGTTGGGAGTGAGAGTGCTGGTTGAACCTGTTGCTGTGTCTTTGTACACAAAGCAAAAGCACGATAGTCTACAAGGTCTCATTGCAAAGCTAAGTGTCACTAACACGGGGAGAGGAGCAGTGTGATGTTACCTGTGTCGCCTGAGCCCATCTCCACTATATCTCCAGCTGATCACACATGCTAATGTAGCCAGCTAGCATCAGCCTGAAAGTGTGAACTGTAGCTGCCATCTGTGGGTTTATTGACCTAATAAAAGTGTCTGTGTGTGAGCAGAGTTGCAGACACTCTGCCACTGTGTGCTGCCTTGCCCACAGGCTCTTTGGCACTGTGATAAGTAGGTCTGAACGCCATCTGCTCAGTTCAGCTGCAGAGCCACCAGACTGCTGCTGTGTGACAGAGGATTTCATTTTATTTAATGTTGCATCATAATAACAGTGATTTAGTCAAGTAATCGTGGAACATGCTTTATTCTATTCTAGTTTAAGTAGTTTTAGTTATTACGTCTGCATGTTCAACTCTTTTCTTCAACAAAAGAATTATATTCTATTTTATTCCACTGTAGTCATTTACTGTTGTAGTGTCAATGTCCTAGCCTACTGTAGTGAACTATATTACAGTCTATTACTTTATTTTAGCTTTTACTTTCTATGTATTTCTTCTGTATTCTATTTTATTTCATCTCTGTGCTTTTGTTTGTGAATTTGATTCAGAAACACTTCCTTGCTCACTTTTACCCTCCTTACTTAGTGCAGCAAACAACTCATGTGGGGGCCTCTGTCCCTATCTCTTAGTAAAGCAGTGCACTCGCATGTGTTTAGAATCAAGTGTGCAAATCCTTTATGTCTCTTAATCAATATACAAACAACTTCAAGGTCCTTCATTGGAGGATTCCCCATGCACACCGTTTGACCATTTTTAAACTTCAAATCTCAGAAAAAGCTCATAAAACCGAACAAAACTGACTTTCTGTAATGCATTTCAATGGACGTCCAGGCAGTGTATGGGAATGGCTATACGCACTGTGATTGGCTCATCACATTTGAGGGCGAGGCTTAGCCATAGGTCAATCGCTTCTCCTCACCTATCCAAATTTGGTTAGTCATGTCAGGTCTTGTGCACTAAACTGTGAGCAGATATAAGTGTTTGTTCATGCATTTAACAACTATGACTCCTTCATTAGTGCAGATAACAACAGTACAGTAAAACACTATTAATAATATAATATTAATAGTGTAAAAAGAGACGTTATATTCTCGAACATATACATAACATATACTGAGCAGTTTGACGATATATCATTATCAATATATAAGACTACATCGTGTTAGACTTTGGATGTCGTTGTGTTGTGATGAGGCATAAACTGTGTTTTAAAGGCTGCATTACAGTAAAGTGATGTAAATGTATAAACTTATCAGACTTTTTATTTGTTTTAACGCTTGCCTAAACTCACTCAGTCGTTATTGTGTTAATATTTTCTGAAAAAACAAAACAAAACAAAACAATAGTCATCCATACAAATGTTTTGCATCAGAGAGGGTATTTGGTTAGAAATATTGTTATGGTTGATTTTGTCTTGCAGTCCTAATATTAATGAAGTGCTTTGAGGAGATGTATTGAGATATATATTGTGTATCACGATATAGCCTAAAAATATTATGATATAATTTTCAGGTCATGCCACCCAGCCCCGTACAGAGAATTAATTATTATGTATTTCACTGCATTTCAGGGGGAAAGAATGATAATAAAATGGCTGCATTCAAGAAAATACAAGGATCACAATTAAGTCTGTCTCTATGAATCTATAACAAGTTGAATATCAAAGATATGCACACACACACACACACACACTCACACACACACACACACACACACACACACACACACAGAGCGTTACATGTGCCCAGTTTTCTTGTTGGTTTTGTCTCCTTTTGGAAACACAGCTGCTGATGTTTAACCTAACGGATCATTTGTCCTGCAGTCTGTGATTCAAGGTTTTAATGTGTTTCAATAATATCCGATATCTGTTTGTTTTAATTGTTGCCTGATTTGGGTCTTGACCTTCTCTTTAAATCCTTGTAAATAATGAATTATGATAGACATATATCAGCAGGTCACCTTGTTGTGATGTGACTGTGACTGACTTATTTGATCTTTTATCATTTTAGCAGGACAGCTGTTCATCTGAGGCTAACCTTCATTGTTCTCTCTCTCTTTGTCCTCAGATCTGACTACGAGATGGAGTACGACAGATACCCTGATGAACACTACAACAGGTACACAACGTTTATTAACCTTTTATTTACCCGTTTCTTTATCTGTTCCACTTCCTGTTTTGTCTCTGAACTCCTGGTTACTGGTGCTTTCTCAAGTCATAAGCGGTTCACACAGCCAGCTGTGCGTGACCTGACAGCACCACATCCAACACAGATATTAGCAGAGGTGGAAAACGTACTCAGATCTTTTACCCATTTACATTTTATTAAGGCTTAAAGTTACGCATAATTAACAGCGGGACGCTTTTAATGACAGGCTGTCTGCTGATGGCGTCCTCAACTTCTCAGTCAGCTCCACCCCTCGCTCCTCCACAGCTCCGTGCTCTCACCCAAATATGGTCACTTCTGGCTCCAAAAAATCAAGATGGTGACGGACGAAATTTCAAACTTGAGGCTTCAGATCTGGAGTCCACATACCAGTGGGTGACATCACAGTCTATGTGTTTACTACATCACCTGACATCCTCCTTTGCTCCAGTCTTATGACACTGGGCAGCCGGCAGGGCAAAGGTCATGTGATCTCAGCCTCAGAACACATGGGTTATATACGAATTATAGAGCATTCATTTTCGTAGGTTTAAGCGTGAATGGTGAATGAGAACAGCCTTCATCATCATTTCATGGCACCATCGACTCCTCGCTCTGTCCCTGATCCTCCACAGCGCCGTCTCTCAGGCTGCAGCCCTCACAGAGTGTTTATGACACATCTGTTCACCCAAATATGTAATATACTGTATATTCATATTTCTATGTTTGTTAATAATATGATTTTATATAATCTGCCTTGTTGTTGAAAACCGGTCAAAGAGCCGGGATGTGAATAAGAAAAACATGGAAACACGTTGTTCTTTATTTCATCATGAGCCAGTTTTAGTGTCAGCGGGAGAAACTAACAATCACAGAAGAGTATGTTGATGAGGTGCTGATTGTCTGACAGGAAGTGACAGAGTAAATATATTCATATCATAGCTGTCTGCAAACTGAACTGATGTTTTGGTCCAAACGACTCAGACAGCCGCGCTGGACGACCTCAAATGTCATCTCAACTTTTTCAGTGTTTCAACAGCTTCAAACTGTTCTTTTTCCCCGAGCGACTCAAACTGCACATTTTCAGCTGAGAGGAGGAAATTGGTCGCCCTCTGCGAGAACATGAACCGCCTCAACTCGCCATTTGTGTCTGGCTCGCAGCGGCAGGCCGATTTCCAGTTTGATGGCAGAGTACGTTGGACTCTGAGGTTAGGAGAACATCCTCCTCTCTCACAGAGCTGTTTACAGTTCCAGATAAAGATGAAAGCTGCGACTGGATCCCAGTTTGACCTCGCTGTGTTCGGCTTTCAGCTGGATGAAGAGGCATTTTGTGAGGATGAGTGCAGCTGCTGGCCTCCCCTCTTCCCTGCACCCATCCTCAGCTCTGATTAGTCTGCACGGCGGTGAAAGACAAAATACAGTCGGTACAGTAAAATACGTCCAACAAGCAGAGAGAAGAGAGATGACAGACCTGAGCTGGGAAGATTAAAATCACATCACTGGGATTTATTGAAACAGAAGAAGAAGGAAGAGTGAGATGGAGATGGAGATATTTCAGGAGAGACAGCCAAAGGGAAAGATAAAAGGAGATCAAGAACAAGAGAAAGGAAGAGTTAGCATAGATTCAAGATCTGTTTTTAGTTCATCATCGTCTTGTTTTAATCGTGGACAACACGTCGTTCACAAAAGATTTTCATCATAGTTTTTGTCAAGGAAGTGAACACTGCTCGGTCCACTAGTTAGTCAGTCGCTAGTGGCGCCGTTCTCTCTGCTGGATAAAAAAATGTGAATATAAACTGCTAAAAGTCAAATATAACTGGGTGGCTGTGAATATTAGGGATGCACTGATTGTGACATTTTCAGGCCAATACTGATACGATAGAATTCGTCCGACATTAGATACAGTTTTTTTATTTGTGTCTTTGTTTTGTTTGTATTTATTCCTCCTTTGTGCCACAGAAATAAAGAAATCTTCATAATAAAGTAATTCATTCATTACACAACCTTTGAATGGGCACAAATTCATTCATTCACATTTATGAAACAGACTTTACTCTGTGAGTCTGTGTCGTTACATCCCAGCCTCTGTGAACATCACAACTGGAAGAAGAGTTGAAATGAGTGCAGAGCAGCATGTGAACAACTAAACTCTTTAGACGGAATTAAATTTGCTCTGATGCAGAAAATAAATACGCAACTAAGCTTTTTTTTTTTAAACTAAATTACATTGAATTAAAATATCCCTGATGCAGAAAATGGGAAATGAGAAGTAAGTGTGTGTGTGTGTGTGTGTGTGTTTACAACCTGATTCAATCTGTTTTTACTCTGTTTTATTTACTTTAGTTTTTTCCCATTAACTTCCTTCATGTTTCTTCGTATTAATTTAACATCCAGGCTGCTGTGATGGAGAGATTTAAGTGAGAAGTGAATCTGAGGGGATATAAAAGAGACGAGAAGGAACTGGAGGAGGGAAGAGGAGAGAAACTTTTAGAAAAAAGATGAGATGAGAACAGACGTATGTACGAGAAAGAGAAAGAGAGAAAGTAATAAAGAGAGCGAGGTAGCAGAAACAGAGAAAGAAAACAGGGATGGATAAAGAGAGGGATGCACAGTGAAGGAACAATGAGAGAAAGAAGCACCCGGATCTTTTAGTACCAATATCACAGTGTACACAATTATACAAGGCAAAATTCTGAATTCAAAATTGTACTTAAGTAAAAGCACAAAAGTATTAAATGAAAATATCTTTAAAGTACCCGAAGTATCCCCCCATACATCCTGATTTTTGTGTTGTTTATATTTTGTATATTAATAATCTGAATCTGCAAAGTGCAGTAAAAAATAGGCTACAACGTTTCCCCCTGAGATGTAGTGAAGTATAGAGTAACAGAAGATGAAAAATACTCTCAAGTGTACTTGAGTAAATGTACTTGGTTACTTCTGGTGAAGAAACAAGGTGTAAGAGGTAAGACCAAAAAAAAGGTTGAGCGAGGTTAGATCAGTGTGTGTGTGTGTGTGTGTGTGTGTGTTGCTTTACACGAACCTTGACGTGTCCTTGTGTTTCCTGTAGCAGAACCACTGCAGTGTTTCCTGCTGTCGGCTCATCGCACTGGACTCAGTGTTACACTACAGACATTCATGTGTTCACAACAACAGCAGAGTACTTTTACTCAAGTACATTTTTAAAGGTACTTGTACTTTACCTGAGTGTTTCCATTTTATGCTTCTTTATACTTCTACTTCACTATATATATTATATATATAACAGCTTCAGTTACTTTACGGATTCAGATTAATAATAATAAATATGAATCAACAAATATCGACTTTCACCTGAGAGAGCGGTGTTCACGTTCTGTAAGATTATAAACCCTGTTCTTTTTTCCTGAACCCAACCTTGTGCATTAGATGTTGCCGGAAAAACTGTCAGTACACGGTGTTGTACCGACGTAGTGCTTTTATTTTGAAAGAGACTGTATGCAAACTGTACATTTCCTGTGAAAACAGAAGTGTATTTTGAAAACAGACAATGCATGTAACAGGCTGAAGTTGACACGGCGTCCCAGAACGTCAACAACCAACACACCCAGGGTACCTTGGACGTCATATGTGGACGTGGAAAGTCCATGACCAAACGTGGACATGTGACGAGGTCACAGTGAGGATGATGATGGTATGTTGTATGTGCAATTGTGGTACAAGTCACACCTGTCGCATCTCTTTTGATTCTGGGATGTCAGCATGCTGTCTAAAATCACACGCTGGACTGTCATGATGCCGCTGTGTTTCATGTCTGCGTAAAAATGCAAAGGCATCACAAAGTAGTGACTTCGTAGCAGCTCTGTTGCACCATCTCTGTATAAAAAGGGCTCCTGAATGCAGCAAAAGATGACTCTTGTGTTACCTCAAAAATGGTTCGCACTCTGTCTTGCACAGTGGCATAACTGATGCATCAGAACCAGAGATATCGTCTTTATTCTACATTATCTTTGTTCTTGTCAAAACCTGCTGCCAGTGCAAATTAGTCTTCAACAGAGTCTGAAATTCGGGTTTTGTGACAGATGTTGAGCGTCTGGCCGGCAGCAGAGATGAGGAGCTCCCTTCTCTGTAACAACACCTCCAGATCTTTTTTTACTCTTCAGACTTGTAGTCTTCAATCGATGCTGACTTAAGTGACATCACTGGAGGACATTTATCAGACTTCACACAGCTCCCTCTGGACACACTAAAGGCTTTATACAACAGACACCTGTAAACACACTTTGAGGTTTAGAATGAGTGGAATCCCCCTTTAAGAAGGTGAAACATCCTGCAGATTTTAGATGTAAACTTTCCAGACACTGCTCCAGTTCAGCTGTGATCCAGTTCACAGAGAAAAGATTTAAAGACCAGTGAAACATGCTCCTGAAATGATCTGCCTGACTAAAGCAGATTGATGTCAAAAGATTTGATGTTTAATTCCATAAATCAAAATTTCTTTTATTATTACTGCATTTTATAAATGTTAGTCCCAGTTAATTGTATTCTTCTCAGTAGCAACGTGCTCTGCTCACAAACACAGCAGTGAGGAAAAATAATCCGCCGTGCCGTAAACACATTTTTATCTGCTGCTTATTCGCAGCCTGTAAAACTCTGTGACGGCACTGAAGGTGACACGGCTCTTATTTGTGCACACAGGACTCAGCAAATTCTAGACAACAGAGAAAAAAACAACAAACACTCTGCCGGTGTTTGTCAGGGAAATGTGCCACAACAGCACATTTAGAGTGAAAGAGAGCGGCAATCCAGTGGAAACAGGAGTTGGTTATAAATCATCTCCTCTCTCTCAAACCTGTAATTCCTCCTTCATGAGCTGCTCTGAACTCACCTGCGATATCACAGCACGGCTGCAGATAAACCAGAGCACAATCAGAGGCTCAGCCTTCCTCACAGATACTTCATACTGTGATATAAAAGCAGGGAGAGCAGAAATA